TCTTTTTTGGTTATTTTTCACTTTCATGTATTTGCCCAACATTACTTCAGTGAATGAAGTTTGTAGATGTAATAGGGGCCATGTATCACTACACTTACAATTTTCTTTCTATCATTTTTCCTAGTCTATGAAAATGATGATTAGCCTTGAAAAAAACAGAATGTTAGATTACAAAGTAGCTAGGTGTTTGATAACTCAAATTTATTTTTAATTTGGTTATAATTTGAAGATTACAGGCAAGTTGCCAGAATAGTACAAGGAGTTCCTAGATACACTTAACTGGATTCCTTAACCATTCCTCAGGTGCTTAGGGCATTAAAACAGCCTTTAATTTTCTTTTGAGGCAGGGTCTCACTCTCTTGCCCAGGGTAGAGTACAAGAGGCTGGCATGATCACAGTTCACTGCAACCTCAAACTCCTGGGCTCAGTGAATCGTTCTGCTTCAGTCTTCAGAGTAGCTGATACTACATGCACTCACCACTGACTGGCTATATTTTTTAATCTTATGTTTTGTGGAGATGCGATCTAGAGGCCTAGTCTCCTGGCCTCACCTGCTTCTCCTGCCTCAGCCTTCCAAAGTGGTAGAATTACACCTATGAGCCACAGTTCCTGGCCAAAACAGCCATCTTGATCACCTTCTAATATCAGTCATTGTTCATGCAGTACTTTATTTATTTCAAGGTGGATTAGCTACTGTATCATTTTTTAAAAAAAGACAGAATCTTGTTCTTTCACCTGGGCTAGAGAAGAGTAGTGTCATCCTAGCTTACTTCAAACTCCAACTCCTGCCTCAGCCTCCCAAGTAGGTGGGACTACACCCACACACTTGGCTATTTTTTTTTTTTTTTTTTACAGAGAGTGCCAAAAAATGTATATGCATTTTAAGAAAGGAAAAAACTGGACTGGGTATGGTGGCTCATGCTGCTAATCCTAGCATTCTGGGAGGCTCAGATGGGTGGATTGCTTAAGATCAAGAGTTCAAGACCAGTTTGAGCAAGAGTGAGACTCCATCTCTGAAAATAGCTGGGTTATGTGGCAGGTGTCTATAGTCCCAGCTATTCAGGAGGCTGAGGCAAGAGAATCGCTTGAGCTCAAGAGTTTGAGGTGATTGTGAGCTGTGACACCATGGCACTCTACCTAGTCTGACAAAGTGAGATTGTCTCAAAACGAATAAACAAAAAAAGGATACAACTGTATTAAAATTGTGATACTTAATGTATACTCTTAAGAACAGATGAGTACAAGTCATGCTTGAGCTTCTCTTGTAATTGCAGAAGGCAAACATGACATGAGTATTACTATTTATACAGTTTTCCCTTTCTTAACATGTGTATACATTTTTTGGTGCCTTTGTTTATTATGAAAATAAGAATAGTATAGGCAAGGTGCAGTGGCTCATTCCTGTAATCCTAGCACTCTGGGAAGCTGAGGCTGGAGGATTGGTTGAGGCCAGGAGTTCGAGACAAGCCTGAGCCAAATGATATCCCTGTCTCTACTAAAAAAATTCAGAGGAAGCCAAAAATATATGTACATATTTCAAACAGGGAAATACTGTATTAAAAGTGTGATATCAATATATACTAATAACGAAAGGTGAATACAAGTTATGTTTGAGCATCTATTGTAATTGCATAAATCAAATGTGACTTGAGTATTATAATTGAGTATTATAGGCATGAGCAATCTTGCCTAGCTGGGACCATTCTTATTTAATAGCTTTTATTTTGCCAGTGCCTATTGTATATTTTAAAAATAATTTCTTCTAAAAATAACTCTCCATTGCCTAATACCTAATTTGTTGCCAAAGATTCTTTGCAAGCTTTCCTGTCTTCAGGATTTCTCATGCTCTAATTCTGGAAATGAAGTTGAGAATTTGAGAAGAGAGAGAAAACAATATAAAATAAATATACTCAATACTAATGATAGAAAAACAAATGTTGAAAATAACTCTCACTTTTTTAGTTTGGTCAACTGAGAGATGAAATTAACATTAATCAAGTTGTAGAAGAGGGTTGGAGGGACAGTTTATGTGTGTTTATGGAGGTAGGTAATGAAGAGGAACATGGAAGAAAATGTTACTTGCAAGGTCCTAGGATGCCATTGTAATTGGAAACATGGATCTGAAATTCAGAGGAGATTATTGATGTATATTTAAGAGTAACTCCTTTAGTAAAAAAATGAATCCATGAAAGATAAAATTACCATGAAAGACATTGATAAATTAAAAGTAATGCATCCAAGTAATGAATTTAGGTGACTAGGTGTGTCAGTTCCCATGGCTGCTATAACAAGTGACTGTAAACTAGGTGGCATAAGATTAAAAACATTTATTCTCTCACAGTTTTGGAGAGCAGAAGTTCAAAGTCAAGGTGTTGGCAGGACAGAACTCCCTCTGGAGGCTCTAGGGGGAGAATTTGTTTTTTGTCTTTCCACCTTCTGATGGTTATCAACATTCCTTGTCTTGTGGCAGCACCACTCCAATCTTCATCTCTCTGGTCACATTGCCTCCTCTGTGTCTTTTCCTCTGTGTGTTTGTTTTATAAGGGCATGTGTGATTGTACTTAGGACCCATCTATCTACATAATCCAGGATAAACACCTCTTTTCAAATTCTTTAAGTTAATCACATCATTTGCCATATAAAGTAATATTTACAAGTTCCAGGGATTAAGATGTGGACATACCCTTTAGGACACTACCATTTAATCTAGTATAGTAGACTTGAAGTCACAGGGAGGATAGACAACAAGAAGCTGAAATAAAACTCAAAGTCCAACATATTAAGTACATGTTAGAAGTTAAAGTGAAAGGAAGAAGGTGAACAGAATATGTTTTCCCCCTAGAATTATGTTTAAATTTGTATGCATGCATATATATATGTGTGTGTGTATGTGTACATATATTTATTTAAAAATGTTTATCTTTGTAGTGTGAGGGAAAAATAAAGAAGATACTAAAGATAGGCAGGAAGAGAATGATGATTAAGGTGAAAAATATAAAGAAGAGCACAAAGTTGACCTTCAAAGTGGAGATAGTTTTCCCTTGGAACTAGTAGAGAATGAAAAATAGACAATATAAAGAAAATTGATAATAGAATAAGGGAGCTATTAAGTTCACATTTGATGACATCCCTCAATGGGTACAACATGTGAAAATCAGTGGAAATGAGGTTGAGAATTGGAGAAGAGAGGGAAAAGAATAATAAAAGAATCTCTGTAGGTAAGGGGAAAGAGTTAATTATGCATTCATTTGAGTGTCCTATTGAGGTAAAGGTAAAACTAAACTTGAAGAGAATATACTAGTCATGGTGAAGTGACTACATTATACTGAATAGGTCAATAGGAAGCCTAGAGAAAACAAATAGTTAGTAGGCTAAAGAAAAGGTTATAGGAGTAATATAATTAGGTGAGTGATTGTAAGGTGTCTGGAAGGGCATATTTTCAATGGTTGATTATGTAGTCTAGTTTAGGTGGAGAACTAAATGAAGCAATCAATATACAGCCTGATAGGCAAGAAGAATTATTAATAGAAAGAGTAAAGGAATTATTCCCATTATACAAGCAAAACTGTGTTAGAAGTAATGGAGTGAGAGTGGATGATGAAGGCAAGAGAATAACAAATACTCCATGCAAATTTTCAGAGGGCAATAGCGGTAATAGTAATTAACTCAAATTGTCATTTCCTGTAGAGTTGTTCACAGAGCAGGCAGGATAATTACTGTAGCTATGACATAGCTTCAGTTGTGCTATTTGGCCTGAAACTGTTTGGCTTGGTAGAGAGTTACAACAATAGGTAAAAGTAAGATTCTCTTTCTTCTTGCTAAAGATGTGTTAACACCCTTATCTGGCTATCATTACTTGAAAAATTGGAGTCAATTTTAAATGATATTAAGGTTTCTCCAGTGATGATGAAGTAAAATGGAGAAGGAAAAAGGAAAATTTAAACTATTAGTAATTTAAACTCTACTAAATACATAGAATGCTAGTTCTTGGCATGTTATATAAAGAGAGAATCTAAAACTTTAAAGCATTATTCTATCTGTTGTATCTAAATCATATAGATCAGGGGTGGGGAACCTTTGGCCTTCTTATTTCAAGATTGTTCTTTTTTAAGGGCCAAAGGAGTCAAGAAAAGCTTCATTATTCTCTATTGTAACCCTTTTAATAAAAAGAATTTGTTATGTAAATTTTGGATACAGTCAAAGGCCACACACTTAAGGACAAAGAAGGCCACATGTTTCCTTAATGCTGTGTGTTAATGCGCGCGTGCACACACACACACAAACTAATGGACACATTGAAGACTTTCTTTTAAATATAAATATTTTATCCACATTTCATGGTCATATCGATAAAAATTTATAAATATGATTTGTAAAATCTGGTACATCCTTACCAATATTTTCCCACCATCATCCTTTTTATTCTTATGTGAATATGTTTCTATTTGGGGTCAAAGGCGCTGGGTGTGAAGATCTTGCAAAATACTACAGGAGGAGGACATTCCCACTGAAATCTATGCAAAACTAGAGATCAATTGTTCCAAAATGAATGTTCAAATATTCTTCCTCTAAAAATTCTGCAGAGAAGTTTTATACATGTAAAAATACTAATAAATTTGTGGCAAGATAAAACTCATGAACCAATTGTCAAATAATATTCGATGCTGAGAGGAATAAAGTAATCTGGTGTTTCTGGAAAGATAAACATTTAATTTTACAGTGAAAAATTTCAGAAAACCAATGGAAAAATCCCCACATCTTTGGAAAACTTAAGACATTTATTCTTACACTTACACATTCATGCGCATGGTGTCGCTCTTCACTGAGAACGTTTCGGCGAAGAAAGCTGCAGTCGCTCCTACCTCCAGAAAATTTAGCGGAAATCGGGGTATCTCTTGCGAATTCTCTCGCGCTAGGAGGTCATAAAATTGGACTTTGAGGGGCAGTTTGAGGTAAGGCATTCTATGTTGTAGGTATCTGTGACTCCTTTTGAGCGTACCATGCGGTTTTCCCGGCAAGGAGGCCCAAGAGCCAGGCGACTATTGCTCTGGTTTCTGCTCCTTGCTTTCTGGGAGGCGGGGAGCAGCCAGCTCCACTACTCAGTCTCTGAGGAGGCCAAACACGGCACCTTCGTGGGACGCATCGCGCAGGACCTGGGCCTGGAATTGGCAGAGCTGGTACCACGCCTGTTCCGAGTGGCATCCAAGGGCCAAGGGGACCTTCTGGAGGTAAATTTGCAGAATGGCATTTTGTTTGTGAATTCTCGGATCGACCGGGAGGAGCTGTGTGGGCGGAGCCCGGAGTGCAGTATTCACCTGGAGGTGATTGTGGACAGGCCGCTGCAGGTTTTCCATGTGGAGGTGGAGGTGAAAGACATTAATGACAACCCTCCAGTGTTCCCTGAAAGTAAGAAAAGAATAATCATTGCAGAATCTAGACCTCCGGAAACTCGATTTCCACTAGATGGCGCATACGACGCAGATATTGGAGTAAACTCGGCATTAACCTACCGACTAGATCCCAACGATTATTTTGCTTTGGACACACAGAACAATCGTGAGCAAACGTCTTCGTTATTTCTTGTGTTGAGGAAAACATTGGACAGAGAGGAAATTGAGGAACATAGTTTATTACTGACAGCCAGTGATGGAGGTAAACCCGAGCTGACCGGTACAGTTCAGTTGCTGATCATGATTCTGGATGTGAATGACAACGCCCCAGAATTTGACCAATCTATATATAAAGCGAGAGTGTCAGAGAGCGCATTTAATGGAACGTTGGTGATCAAGCTAAATGCCACAGATGCTGATGATGGTACAAATGGAGATATAGTCTACTCATTTAGAAAGCCTGTATCACCCGCAGTGGTATATGCATTTACCATAAATCCCGAAAGTGGAGAAATTAGGACAAAAGGGAAACTGGATTTCGAAGAAAAGAAATTGTATGAAATATCAGTGGAGGCAGTTGACAAAGGGAATATTCCAATGGCGGGTCATTGTACCCTTTTGGTGGAAGTATTAGATATAAATGATAATGCCCCAGAGGTTACAATCACTTCTCTGTCTCTCCCAATCAGAGAAGATACTCAGCCTAGCACGGTCGTCGCCCTGATTAGCGTATCTGATCGTGACTCTGGAGCCAACGGACAGGTCACCTGCACCCTGACGCCCCATGTTCCCTTTAAACTGGTGTCCACCTTCAAAAATTACTATTCGTTGGTGCTGGACAGCACCCTGGACCGCGAGAGCAAATCTGACTACCAGTTGGTGGTGACAGCGCGGGACGGTGGCTCGCCTTCGCTGTCTGCCACCGCCAGCGTGTCCGTGGAGGTGGCCGACGTGAACGATAACGCGCCAGCCTTCGCACAGCCCGAGTACACCGTGTTCGTGAAGGAGAACAACTCTCCGGGCTGCCACATCTTCACAGTATCTGCGCGGGACGTGGACACGCAGGAGAACGCGCTGGTGTCCTACTCGCTGGTGGAGAGGCGAGTGGGCGAGCGTGCGCTGTCGAGCTACGTGTCTGTGCACGCGGAGAGCGGCAAGGTGTACGCGCTGCAGCCTCTGGACCACGAGGAGCTGGAGCTGCTGCAGTTCCAGGTGAGCGCGCGTGATGCGGGCTTGCCGCCTCTGGGCAGCAACGTGACGCTGCAGGTGTTCGTGCTAGACGAAAACGACAACGTGCCAGCGCTGCTGGTGTCTAGGGCTGGCAACATGGGCGGCGTGGTGACCGAGCTGGTTTCACGATCTGTGGGGGCAGGCCACGTGGTGACGAAGGTGCGCGCTGTGGACGCAGACTCAGGATACAACGCTTGGCTGTCGTATGAGCTGCAGCCAACAGCAGGAAGCGCGCGCAGCCCGTTCCGCGTGGGTCTGTACACCGGCGAGATCAGCACGACGCGCGCCCTGGATGAGAACGACTCGCCGCGCCAAAGCTTGTTGGTGCTAGTGAAGGACCACGGAGAGCCGGCGTTGACTGCCACCGCCACCGTGCTGGTGTCGCTTGTGGAGAGCAGCCAGGCGCCAAAGGTTTCTTCGCGGGCGTTGGTGAACACTATGGGTCCTGAGGTGGCTCTGGTGGATGTCAACGTGTACCTGATCATCGCCATCTGCGCGGTGTCCAGCCTGTTGGTGCTCACGCTGCTGCCTGTACACAGCTCTGCGATGTTCTGCACCTCAGACCGAGGGCGCGTGTGGGTCGGGCAAGCCCAGGCTGGTTTGCTCCAGCGCAGTGGGAAGTTGGTCAAACTCCCAGCAGAGGCGGCAGAGGGTGTGCTCTGGGGAGGGACCGCCCAAAACAGACCTCATGGCCTTCAGCCCCAGTCTTCCTCCTTGTCTGGATTCTGCAGAGGGAAGGGGCCAGAGAGAGATGGATTCAGAACATTTGAGAGAGGTAAACTCGTATTTTTTTAAAAACACCTTAATATTTTAGCCTTTCTTACTGTTCGAGATATCCTCAGTGCCAATTCTGAGATTATTCTTTAGCTTAATTTTAAGTTTGCTTCTATCAATCTATTGGCTTTGGTATTGACATATCTTGGGTTATTCTTGAAAGTTTATTCAGAAAACAATGTAATGTATAAAACAGGAATATTTTGGTTTTGTTGTATCCTTGATATTTGTAAGTATTTATTGCATAATCGAACATTTACAGGAAAAAACTGCACATGTGAGAACTTAAACATTTAGGAAATGTTCATTTTTAATGAGGCTAATCATACATTATAAGTTCTTATTATTTAACTTACACATAGGTCCGTGTATCTTTATTATTTTAAAGAACTCCATAACTTTTCATGTAAATACCTTTTTATACAGTGTATTTATGTGCTCACGCACTTGTGGCACTTTGGGAGGCTGAGGCAGGAGTGTCACTTGAGGGCAGGAGCTCAAAATCAACCTGAGCAAGAAGAACCTCCTCTCTATAAAAAACAATTGGAAAAATTGTTTGGGTGTGGTAATGCAAGCTGGTAGTCTCAGGCAGTGAGGTATGATGAAGCCACTGCATGGTAGCCTGGGAGACAGAGCAAGACTCTTGTTTCAAAAACAAACAAATACAAAACAACAACAATAACAACAAAAAACAAACCAAAATGACCCCAAAACAATCAAACAAAAACTAAAGCAACAACAACAACAAAAAAAACCTTTTTGGTTGGTTCCTTCTTTTTTGTCCTTTTGGCACATCAGTGTTCCCCTCTCATGTATTCCGTGCAAGGTAGTTTGAGATTTTCCTTTCACATTTTTATTTGTACTCAGATAATTACTCAATACATACACATAGTGGGTTTTTTGGGGGGGGGGATTTTTGTTTCTCTTCCAAAGTTTAACATATATTATACATTTTACACTTCTCTGTTACCAATACCTTTAGAACCCCCTGCAAATCTGATATTTTAATAGCTGTGTAGTATTCCATGTGCAGATGTATCTTTATATATTTAGTTTTTCAACAACTGATGGACAAATACTTTGTTCTTTTATCTCCATAAACCATGCTGTACTATAATTTTACATATTTCCTAAAATATTGGTTTTTCCTTCTGTGAAATTAATACTCAAATGTGGAATAGATGCATCAAAAATATTATATTAATAAATATATTTATTTTCAATAACATATATTGCTAGATAGCCTTCCAAGAATTTTAGTACTTTATAAATTGCCACCAACTAGCTTTGAGCACTGTGTTTGTTTTATCTCCAGAAGCAATAGAAGTTTTACGTTTTGCCAATGTGATTTCTAGGAAATGATATCTCATTGTTACTTTGATTTTAAATTCCTATATATCTTCAGTGAATTTGAGGTTATATATATTTTATTGATTTGCACTTGATTTTCTTTGATTTTATCAATTAAATTATTGATTCATTTTTCTATTGAAAAACTATTTTTTAATTTTGGAAAAATCTCTGTATAATATATATATTAGCTATTTATCTGCATCACAAATATCTTTTCTCCTGTATTATTCTTATTGATTTGTTTGTAGTGTATTTTGCTGTATAAAAGCATTTTGAATTATCTATTTTATTTTATGGGTTTTAAAGTCTGCAGGTTTAGTTAGAAAGGTCTTTTCAACTCTTATAATAACTATTCATTAAATAAATTCATTTACCATTATTGAGCATTCTCTATGTGCTGGACACATTCTGCACATTAAGGATTTACAATGAAATTTGTTCTTTTGTGTAAATTCAAATTTCCATTTGTTGTCCCTGAGGAGTTTTTTTAAATGTTTTTTTGTAATTCATGTTCTGGCAAAAAATTCACTCAGCTTTTATTTGTCTATGAAAAATACTTGTTTCACTTTCAGTTATGAAAAAAATATTTTTACGGAGTATAACTGACAGTTTTTTACATATATTATTTCATTGTCTTACAGTTTGCATGGTTTCTAATGCGACAATCTGTAGTCGCTTTCCTGTATACGTGTCTTCCTCTCATCCCCCTCTTCCATGGTTGCTTTTAAAATTTTCTTTTTTTTGCCAGGGTTGGGTTTGAACCCACCATCTCCGGCATATGGCCAGTGCCCTACTCCTTTGAGCCACAGGCGCTGCTGTAAAATTTTCTTTTTTATCACTGATTTTTGTAAATTGGTAATGAAGTGCTTTAGTCTGATTTTCTTTATGTTAGTCTGTTTGGGGTTTGTTGATATTCTTGGATATGTGGAGTTATCATTTTCAACAAATTTGGAGAAATTTAAGCCATATTCCTTCAAGTGTTATTTTTTTCCCCTTTCGTCCTTTCTGGCACTCTAATTACACTACATGTATGTTAGACTGTTTGATGTTGTCCCACAGGTCATTGAAGCTTGTTTAGTTTTGTTTGTCTGTTCTCTCTTTGTGCCTCATTTTGGATCGCTTTTATTAATATATTTTCCAATTTCACTAATCATTCCTTTTGTAATATCATATCTTCTAATACTAACCAGTATACTTTTTACCTTATTTAGTGTGTTTATCTTTTCTTTGTGTAAGATTCCATTTAGGTCTATTAAATTTATTTTATTTATCGTTACATGATTTGTCATTATTATTGTCTTTGTCTATATTCTTGAACATATAAGTATATTTATAATACATGTTTTAATATTCTTGTTTTCTAATTTTAACATTCTTGTCATTCCTTGGTTTGGTTCTTTTGGTTGATTTTTCTTCATGCGTGCACGTGTGTGTGTGTATGTGTGTGTGTATGTGCCTGTGTTTTCCTTTAAAGCAATGTTTCCCAATCAGGGACAGTTTTGCCTCACAGGGGATAATTTGGGAATACCTGAATACATTTTTGTTTGTTACAACTGGGGGATTGCTACTCATGTCTAATGATGGAGGCCAGGGATGCTGCTGACCATCATAATGATGCACAAAGTATATCCCTTTACGATAAAAAATTACCTAGCTCAGTAATTCTGCCTCAGAGACTTGAGCTCAGTTCTAACATGCAGTTAAGTTGCTTGGGACCAATTTATCCCTTACAAGACTTGATTTTAGGATTTATTAATGCATATCTAGAGCAGCTTTTAGAATAAAACTGATTTGTCCCTCTATTAAAGTGATATTCTTCTGAGAACACTATCTAATGCATACATGTATGAAGCGGTCTCTCTTCTTTAACTTGCAGAAAGTGAAATATTCTTGGTCCTTTTTGAGCACTACGAATCATTCTGCCTTCTCCTTTTCAGTAGTTTTTTCCTTGGCCTTGTGGAATTTTCCTTGGTATGTGCAAATTAGTATTCAACCAAAGATTGAAAAAGATTGGAAAAGACCCCTCTAGAGGTCTGCAAAGCTCTTTGTCTCTGTGCAGTTCCTTCTTCTATATTATTTGTAAATTGTATCTACCTGGATCTTTTATTTTCTTGGAACTACATGGCTGTCTTTTACCTGGGTCTTTCTGAACTTTAATTTCTAATGGCCTTTTCATTGCAGGGAGGCCATTGGGCTTTGTTTTCCCTCTCCCTAAATTGTATTCTAAAAATTGCTTCCAGGCAGTGAGATGAAGACAATCTTATGATTCATCTCATTTGTTTTCCTTCTGTTGAGGGATCATAATCTTCCTTCCTTTCCTTTCCTTTCCTTTTTTGAGACAGAGTCTCACTTTGTTGTCCTCAGTAGAGTGCTATGGTGTCATATCAATTCTAAGACTTTTTGGTAGAGGCTTTTAAAGTCTTTCTATACATAAGATCATATTGTCTGCAAAGAGGGACAATTTTACTTCCTTTTTTCCAATCTGAATATCTTTTCTTTTTTTCTCTTGCCTGATTGCTGTATGACTTCCAGTACAATGTTGAATAAGAGTGGTGAGAGTGGGCATCCTTGTCTTTTTCCCATTCTTAGAGGAAAGGCTTTCAGTTTTTCCCCATTCAGTATGATGTTAGTTGTGGGTTTGTCATATATGGCTTTTATTATAGTGAAGCATGTTCATTATGTGCTTACATTATTGAGAGTTTTTATTAAGAAAGGATATTAGATTTTATAAAATTCTTTTTCTGCAGCTATTGAGATGATGTTTTTTTTTCCTTCGTTATGTTGATGTGATATGTTGATGTGTGTGTGATGTCATACACACATTGATTTGTGTATGTTGAACCATCGTTGTATCACTGGGATAAATCCCATTCCATCATAGTGTATTATCTTTTTTCTGTGTTGTTAGATTCAGTTTACTAGCATTTTGTTGAAGGTTTTTGCATCTATGTCATTGGCCTTTCTTAATGTCATTGCATTCTTGTCCAGTTTTGGTATCAGTGTAATGCAGGCCTTGTAGAAGGAGTTAGGGAGAATTTTCTCTGCTTCAATTTGTGGAATAGTTTGAGAAGAATTAGTGTTGGCTCTTTTTTTTTGGCCAGGGCAGGGTTTGAACCTGCCACCTCTGGCATATGGGGCTGGCACCTTATTCTTTTGAGCCACAGGTGCCACCCAGTGTTGCCTCTTTTTTAAATACTTGTTAGAATTCATCTGTAAAGCTATCCAGTCCCGGGCTTCCTAGCTGAGAAGCTTTTTAATACTGATTCAATATTACTCATCATTTGCTTGTTCAGTTGTTCTATTTCCTCTTGGTTCAATCTCGTTAAGTCATATATACTTAGGAATTTATTCATTTCCTTGAGGCTTTCCAATATTTAGTGTATTTTTGTTCATAATATTCTATAACGATTTTTTGTGTTTTGTGATATCAGTTGTAATATCTCCCTTTTTTTTATGATTGTATTTATTTGTGTCTTTTTTATTAGTCTAGCTAAGGGTTTATTGATTTGGTTTATATTTTCAAAAAAACCAATTTTAGTTTCTTTGTTCCTTTGTATTTTGTTTTTAGCCCTTATTTCTGTTAGTTCTGCTCTGATATTTATTATTTCTTTCTATTAATTTTGGGTTTGGTTTGTTCTTGCTTTTCTAGTTCCTTGTGGTACATTCTTCAGTTGCTTTTTTGAAATC